GCTAAAATAGAGTAAGTTTATAGTAGTCATTGACGTCTGTCTATCAAGAGTACACGTGTATGATTTTTATCGTGACTAGCGTGAGCGGGTAAGCTTCCTTTCGAGAATGAGCTGTTATCACTGTGAACAATGTTAAATTATTCTTCAGATGACCAGTTTATTTTTTAAAAACAAACTAATTTTTTTATTTAAAAAAAACCATGCCGTTTTCGCATCAAAATCCAAGCCAAAATATCGTACTACAACATCAATCTCTTCCGCATTGCGTTCAATAACATTAACATATTTAAATAAGCTATGGTAATTTGAACACGTTGGCATCATCCAGCTTTTTGATTGGTTAATTAGCGATTTGACCTATTTGACCTAAGAGAACATGGCGGATATCCTACAGCATCAAACGTTTATACGAGACCGGAATCATTCACTTACGATGAAATTAAGTTGACTTTTATTTGTATTTCATAACCATTCAACAAATTTATTTTGTGTACATTATTATAATCACTACTGAGTACAGTAATAATCAACAATTCAGAAACGCAGCATGCCGAGGTTTTTGTGTTCGTTTTTATTTGAAACTTCGTTTATTTAGAATATATTTTCGTTACCAATAAAATAAAAATCTCTCAGTCAATCAGAAACCCGGATACATGCCTTTGAGGAAGGTCCCGTTTGAACGCTCACATCGTTTTTTTTTTCGTTTGGGGGAAAACTAAAACTGGTCGCAATTTTCGAATAAGAATGAGTCGGCAATTTTTAGTGGAGTCGAAAATTTGGAGGTAAATAAAACACCGAAACCCGGCAAATAAATAGACGGTCGATTTTTTAGAGGGGTTGAAGTTTTGGATTTTTCAATGAAACTTAGTACAAAGATGCTCTAGGACAATGTACAAACCTAATTAGTTTGGGGTAAAAATCTGTTCATATTAATTCCCTAATAAGCATAATAATTCATAATTTTTTGGTTCTAATCACATTTCAATTAAACTTGGAGACATAGATTTTCTGTTACATTGCGCAGACCTCATTAGTTTTACACTCAAATCTGGTCATATTAATTTTCTGATTTGCATAATTAGTTTTCAGCTAAGTAATTTCGAATTATATTTAATGTGTCTCCAATACTCTCAGCACATGGGAGTTCTTTCTAAGCTTTCTTTGATTATGGATGATGTTCCAGAGCAACATCTGACATGCTTTGACTGATCATGTACAAACATTATATATACATCATGTCGCACATATGCACAGATATTAGTTTGACAATCAGATTCAAGATGGCCAAATGGCGGCGAATTTAATTTTTAAAAAATCAAGCATTTCTTCAATTCCATTTCATAATGAACTCAGTTCTTTTGCCATGTCTCTGACATCCTTTGGCTGATTGCAATCATGTTTTACAGCAACATTGCACTTCATGTGACACTTAGTAATTACTATGCATTTGTTTCAAGTTCTGATTCAAAATTATCGACCGATGGCCATTTTGTTTTAATTAATGCTGTTCCAGAGAAATATTTCCCAATAAGTACTTGTTTTATAATTAGATACAAGATGATTGAATGTCTATCATTTTAATGTTAAAAAAACCCTCATAATCAAGCATCAGCTTCTGGATCCATTTCCATGTTTATGTTCAAACTATTACTATAAACAAAACTATATATCTTAAATTTGATAACTAACGAGGACTGTGCCCATGCATGGCTTGTTTTACCATAGACCCTTTTCTGCATCCAATATGGTGCTGTGGAGGATTCATTATTGTTCAAATAAATGATGCAGAATCAAATTTGTGTGGCCTCCAATGTGGTATAAGTAATTCACTGCATAAGTACTCAGGTATGCAAGATACCATTGAATCCAGATGATTATTTGTAGGTTACAACGATATCAATGCTGCTGCCTGTGTTACTGGTAAACCAATTAGTCAAGGTGGCATTCATGGACGTCCCTCTGCCACTGGACGTGTAAGTTTAGAACTTTTCATTTTAGATGTAGTACACCATGCATAGTTTATTACAAATATTGTGATATCTGTGAATACCAGTTTTTTCTTGGATGTAATAATGAGACTAACCTGTTTTGGGAAAAGATCCCAAATATTAAGATGTTGTTAAGGCGAGGAAAAAAAAATTCTCTGTTTCTCGTTTCATGGAAATTTTGAAATGAGGTGACGAGGTGATTTTTTTTTTTTTTTTAATACTGAGCTAAAGTGGGGCAAATTTGAGAGTACAAGACCATTTTGGAATGCTTTAGAAGGAAAAAAAACACGTTTGAGGCGCATAGTTCAAAATGATGCGCGCGGAAATGAGAAACAGTGATATTTTTTTTCTCAGCCTAATAGGAAAGAAATCATGCTTTTTAACAACCTATCCACATTGTGAATGGACCAACTACATGTATGTTTGTAACGTTGTGATTAGCTAAGCAATTTGATTTTGAATTCTGATAATCTGACTCTCATTCCTGATAAAATCCATGAAACATTAAAAGCTGATCAACATTTTTCGCTCACTGTGAGATCTCGTGTAAAGTGTGGATTGAATGTCTGCTGCAAAAATCAAATGATTTGATTTGAAATTAAAAATTCATTTTTTACCTTGCCCGTACCATCAAAGATGGAAGGGAAAGGTATATTAAGGGACAAATTTTGTCCGGCGTTGTCGTTGTTGTCGTCGTCGTCGTCGTCGTTAATAATTGTTATTGTGTGCATAATAACTTTACTAATTCTATTCCAAACTTTATCAAACTTGGTCACCTTATTCATCAGTATAAAGTCTTCCCTGAGTTTGAACAACAGATGTCCTGTATGAAAATATCATGCAAAAATTGAGAAAATCTGATAAAATATTTTGACTGTTTCTGCTTGACTGATCACTGGTGATACACATCAAAGGTCACTGATCTCA